CCAAGAATTTTCTAGCGCTTCCTCTTGTTTTTAGGTTCCCAGATTTCCCGCCCAAATTGGTAACCTTTTGCTAACCTATGGAACTTTCAAAGGCTTTTCTAGCATTTTCCTAGGAATGCTCTAGGCTTTGTCTAGATTGAGGCTAAGGCTTAAGGCTAAGGCTAACCTCGACAGTCACGCCTCACCCCACCTCTCTCGCTAGAGCAAGGCTAGCGCTAAGGTTCTATCCCTTGGGGGTCGGCGGCTGCAGGCGGTAGCCTGGTAAATAAGTCCAAGAGGAAATCAAAAGGAATCAAGGACATTATATATATAAAAGGAAATCAAAAGGAACATAAAAGGAATCAAAGGGACATTAGTAGGATTCAAAAGGAAAGCAAAAGGAATCAGAAATGTACAGAACTTGGCCATTGCGCCATCTATAGGCCCCAAACGTTATTTTTTTTAGTAGGGAAAACTAGTAACCGCACAAACATCCCGCATAATTTCAATTTTCTGCACTCCAAAGACCAGTTGCGCCATCTATGACAGCCAAATAGCGAGAAAAAGCAGATACGTGGCGCGGCTGTTCCCGCTATTTTGTTTTTTGAGTTGCGCCAACAACTATCCAAACGGTGTAATGGTTATTTATAAATTGTTGTGTTTTGACTGTCCACACCCTAGGTCATCCCTTTACTGCAGGGGTGGTGGCCCGCCTGTCCGCCGGTCCGTGTTGCACCCGGGGATTGAAGCCGGGTCCGACGCATGAGGGATGCGTCATAGCTACTGTCATGAGAAGAAGAATGGTTATGTATTGCTCTTGTGTGTGTGTGTGTGTTGCATTGTGTTGCTGAACCCCTGGTACAGTACGGTATGAAGGGCATGATACGCTCTACCCAAGTGCCTGTATCTTGGTCTATATACTTCTGACGAAGGGCAAGACCTCGACCTTATTTCCAAGATTCGCGCACCCCATGCCACAGGATGCAAGGTACATCAGTACATTCAACATTCATCCCTAAGGCCCCAGGAGCCTGTGCGAAAGTCTGTGCTGAGCAATCCCCAGTAGGGGGGGCATTCCTCCCATCAGTTCTTTTGGTTCAGCCACAGAGATCAGCTTCACCATGTCCACACTCTTGGCCTTGCCCTTGGCCTTGCTCAAGCCCAGCACAAACTGGTGCGCAGTGATCCCTCCGTGCCGCTCACCATCCATTATCTCCTCAGTCAGGTCGATCCAATCAAGTCCGATCAAACTGGGACTGACCCTAAGAGAATGCATGCTACGTTCCCTAGATTTCACAGGTGGCCAGCTGGTAATTTGTGGCTTTGGTCAATATATGTCAATACACTCATTCTTCTTGCGTCCTTCCATGATTCCACATCCATGGCTTACTCCATTGAAGGAAGGGACATGAACAGCCACTAATCGCTAAGGAACGTAGAAGGCTTGAGCCTCCTCATCAGAGATGCCCATCATCTGCAGCTTTGCGTTCACTGTAGGCGTCTGCCAGGGAACTGAGCGAACCACACGTTCTACAGTGACCGAAGAAATAAGACAGTGGGTGGTCTTTGCTTCGCAATCCATCCCAATACGGATCATTACATCTAATCTATATAGTCAGCCACACTCAGATCTCGCTTGCCTCAACTTTCTCCAATAGTTTCAAAAATTAGAAAACAGAAAGGATAAACACTGCAACGCGGACAACCAAGGATGCATTGCTCATCAAGGTGCCTCGGCTCGTGTTCTATCAAAAGCACTACATTCTGCGAACAGGAGAACTCCAGCAAGCGTTTTGCAACGGTTCAAGGCTGGGTATCGGGTAACACTTGCTAATTAGTTCTCTGAAAAAGCAAGAAACACATGGGCGAAAGGGAGGTGCTAAAGACTTGCATGACTTCTAAGACAGAGAAACATCCCCATAGCATCGATGCATCGAGCAACTACGGCAACCTCTGTCCTGAAAAGGTAAAATCACAGTTACTTTAAAGACCAGTGAATATATAAATACTAGTTGCTAGATGGACCAAAATGTTGACACGATCGTCATGGTCATCACCTGCAGTGCAGCCGGCCCGGCTAACACCCTGCCTGGATTAGCTTGTGGAAGACCTGCATACCTCGGCATGATCCGAAGAACTGAGAAATGACTGGCATTGCAGTGAATGATGAAAGGCTGTCTGAACTAGGTAACTAGTTGGCCGCTTTGTGATGGCCGTCAACCAAGGGATGAGAGGGATCCAGGTGCTTTCGACCATCGAAGTTGTATCCGGGAGGTCAAAAAACTGTAAACACTCCAGAGCCACTTTACACTCACCATGTTTGATCTTCACGGTTGCTCCAGGTTTCTGCTTTTCACTACCAAGGCTGAGGAAGAAACCATTGAGCATAGTGGGCCCTTGACTGAGTAGTTATTGACATATCTGTTGTTTGGGGAAGACCAAGTCTGCCCAGAAACAAATATCTCCAATATGTTGCCGGAATCCAGTTCTTTCTGAGAGATCAAGTCCAGGTTGCTGAGCTTGCCATCTAGGCCGATGCCAGATCGAAGGTCTTCTTCCAAGGAACCTACACCCAGAGGAGCCAAGACAAGAACTTGATGATGTTTGTCAGTCACCTTGACCCCACAGTTCGGTGGAGAACGATGGAAAACCAATCAAAATTTGGCCTTTGTGCAATCCTGCATGTCTGACTGGTGATCAATGAACAATCCCTCCACCGAAGGAAAAGCGCAGCTGACCGAAAGCAGGCCGTGTGCACCAGGGAGCAAAGATAAAGGACTGTTTGCTTGGAGATGATCCTTGATAGTTGCACACAAGGCAGTGGCGATGGTTCCAAGGGCTTCGAAAGTCTTGCCCAGAGAGACTCAAAGACTCAAGACATCTCAAGACCACGTATCCGATCTGTTTTACGGTTCACCCACCTGAAACGAGGACTCCCTTATTTGCTTGCTGAGAGACCAATGCTCCTTTGTGATTCACATCCCTTGTTTGGTTCCAACTGCAGTAGCCTGCACTGCTCAGCGCCATTGAACTTGCTCGAACACATTTCCCAATCTGAAGCCTACCCTCAGTGGATGAATTTCATGCAAGAAAACCATGTGGACCTGAGACCCCTTCCACTAGCAAGCACGTCCCCCAGTTTGTCCACACCCTTTCGTGTCTTCCCGTTGAATTTGTCAGTTGTCTCATCCAAGATCCAAGGAGCGGATAAGCATGTCATGTGCCTTGCCCATCAGCTTCTCCTGCACCTCATTGTGCTCGCCTGAGATGTTCGAAACGCGATCCACCATGATGGCCACCTCAGCACGCCAAACACGAACAGCAGCAAATGGGAACACCAACCAACCGGAGCTTCTGCATTTGAAGTTTCAAGACGGATGGATGGCCAAGGTCCCGAGAAGGCCTTTTGGGTGTTTCAGATCTTCAAGCCAGGCTGCCAGGTGGTTGATGATGCCAAAGTTCAGCAGAAATAGGGTGAAGACAATCCTGAGAAATTCAGAGAGAGAGAGTTCCTTCTGAACAATCATCCGGAAGACCGTGAAGTTGATAGAGTACGGATGAAAATAAAACGGATGAACGGATTCCTGTATAGCCTACTAGCGTAGCTATTGCCTGTCCGTCTTCACTTTGCACTTCATCGACACAAATGCCGCCTCCCTGCCATGTTGCCCTCCGTAGCTGCCTGCTCACTACATTAAGAGACTGGCGAAGAAGGGCTTCTGCCATGTGGTCAGGGTTGGCGTTTTGGTTGGAAGTCAAGATTCCCAACACCTCCCATCTCCCGTTAGTCAAGGTTGTGTAACATGTGGTTAACGGATTAAAACATGTTCACAACCTCACCGGCTGCACTGCCATCTTCCTTTCCCTCACCTTGCGAGCACAAACGAGACCAAAATGAAGCGTCGTCACCAAGGAGAGCGGGGAAATCTCGAAGAGGCGGATGGCAACCTTCCAAAAGTGCCCATCGCTACTAAGGGTGGAGGTCATCGCTAGCTAGTAGGTTGGAGGCCGATGTATGAGGGCCTCTATGTCTAAATGAGGGGTGGGAACAGTTTCCTTCACCGGCACACTGCGGAAGCCTCGAAATGCAAATCGTTCTCCTTCCATGTCCATCGCTCCATCCACGACATCCAACCAGCCTCCCCTCTCCATCCCCTTTCTGTGAAACACCTGTCTACCGGCACAACAAAGAGCCACACTCACGATACACGGCTCACACTGCGACTGCCGACAGCACCTCGGACCAGAGATCCAGGGTGGCCAGTTGCATCACCGTGATGGTGGATCTCCAGACCGAGCCCGCATACCTGACAAATGTGGCGGACCCCCCCTGTGTATGCAGGGCAACAAGTCCGTAAAAAGGTTTTGAGGTTGGCATCAGACTGAGTTTCCTTCCTTCGGTACCTGCGGGGGGCTGTGGTGGTGCAGGATTTCCACATTGCTCATTGTACAGAGGTGTGCTGGGATGGTAAAATCCAGAAAATGATCCATTAACCAGCTCACCCTCTTGCACTCCTGTTGCAACAACAATTGGCAAAGATTCCAAGTAATTATCATGGTTGTTTGAGAGGCTGTGCTCATTGAACAAATAGGAACCGTCAAGGTGAACATCACACATCCACATCGAAGGTCACATGCAGTTCTAAAGGGGCGGAGAAGATTCCAGGGGCTCACTGATAGGTAGCAACAATGATAACGATGATTTGAATCAGCTGGGGCACGACACAATCCTGAAAAGTCTTCTTTGGGGTGATCTGCCATCTGCTGCCCTGCGGTAAAGGTTGTGGTCAGAGTAATGAGTTTGTTCTCACGTGAGAAGAAATTCATTACTCATTCCAGGTCACAGGTACTACAATGTGTTCCCAAAAATGGCGACACTCTCCGACCCTCGTCCTTTGGGCCCCAAGTCAAGAGGCATCTTTGCTTGTGGCCACCGGGAGATGGCATAGGCGTCTTGCGCCACCAGAGAGGTCAACACCACCGCCATCCTGCAGAGTGAGCGGGTGCAAACACCGTCCTTCACTGGGATGTCAGGATGTCGTTGAACAAGAAACGTGGTGACTACGTAGTACATCAAAGTACTCTGACTAATAAACCCCCGGAAGGATGGATATCATTGAACATCGCACTCTATGAAACGAGACTCAAAACCTACTGTGACTGGTTTGGACCAGTTTGGTCCCGTCAACACCCTACAAACCGCACCAGCGAAAACGTCTCGCAACGGCTTCGCGCATGCCGGTCATGAAAACGAAGACTGCCGTGATAATGCTCAGTTGGATCACGTGCTCCACTGCGTTGGCAAGTCCTGACCGTTCACCGGGCTCCACGTGCAAAGCACCGAGAGGTCAAGCACCCACAAAACCGACTCCAAAATGGGCGTAGTTTGTGGCAAACTCCGTTGATGGTTGATCTATCTGGGAAAAACGAGCACTGAGATTGTGGGAAAAAAAACTGGCTGACTGGCTACTGCTTGCTCATCTTCGACACCTGCAAGCAGGCCCCATTCCGTGTTCACCCATGATTATCTTTAGAACCAGGATCAATGAAGTCTTACAAAGATGTTGGCCCCACCTCTTGCGTTGAATCTTACCTAAAGCAGCAGGAACTCCTCCAGTCTAAGCCTTCAGACAAAACATGAAAATAATACATGGCCAATTCCCCGACCGCTTCAGCCAGTTCAGCCGTCCTCGCGCGATGACAAGCAGTTGGCTCTTAGAGTTTTGCGCCAATCTAATGATCCGCACCTGGCTTGCACCAGTTCGACAGGATCGCTTGGTGGCTTCAATCAAACAAACATGAAGGACTTATGGAAAATGACCTTCTCCAATTCATTCGCGAACTGAGATGCCCAGAATTTCTTAATTTGATAGGAGTATCGATTGTGCAACTAAAGAATTCCGTACCAAATGAATGCCTTCTGGAAGAGCCATCTTCAAACATTCTGGCGGGGTCATGACCTAATCATAATTGTTTTGCCGTACTCCTGCAGCGAATTCATTTTCACACGAACTGACCGCCGAGGGGCAAAGCGAAAGACTCGAATAGTGGATGCAAGTTGCACCTGGCAGAACGCCGGGATACATGTCTGCATGCTATATGTTCAACGTGCACAAGGTGCACTTCAGCCAAGGAATACTACGCGCATATCAATAGCTCCCCACATCCAATTATATAGCCTGTTTCATGCTGTATAGTAGCATGGGCACAAGGAAGAGGGCGTCAATATCCATCTATCACGATCTTGAGAAACCTATGTAGATTCACCATGTTCAAGCTCAAGTCCGCAAGTGTTTTTTGCCTGTTTAGGGCCACTGAACAAGGCTTGCTCCAAGAAATTTAATATACATATATATATATAACATTATTTAACCGGCGGTATCCTTCAACCTCCCTCTTGAAATCGCTCAATACAGTAGTACACCAAAAAAAATGTCAGCATCCATGAAAAAGAATCGACTTATACAGATATATACAGTAAGCGACTTTGTTCTGCGCCAACCAAGTGATTTGGTTCCGCATCAATGGATTCATCACGAAATTGACCTCTTTCTGCTGATTGTCACGTGATCCATTATGCAGGATCAACACCTCCGGTGTTTCTGACCATGAGACCAGTTCAGTAGGCCTTTGCCTTGTTTGTAGCTCCCGTATCGAAAGGGTGAGACTTGGTGAAACGGTCTCAAAGTCAGACGCAATGAAACTTGTCTACTGAGGGCTTATGGTGAAAATCCGGCAAATGAGATAAAGACTCATGAGTCACATGAGTCATGAGACGACTCATTCGAGAATTCTTAGCTTATACAGTATACCCAATTTATTACTCCGACTGGACGACAGACACCAAGCCAAAACGCCTTGGCAACCTGACAAAACCCAACACCTTGAAGTCCTTCCGTTCCCCCTTCAACCGGAGGTGTGCGCACCCGTTCACGATAGGTGGAGGCCGAGGTAGCCACATCCAGCCAGCTCGCAATCACCAAAGAATAGTCCAACAGGTTCAACAAGTCCTCACGAGAGCAATTTCTTAGAGAGCTCCAAAAATTTGGGTATGTGGAGGTGAAACGGTTGGGCAACCCGAACCAGACATTTCTGGTGTCCTGCAGATTACAGCCTTTTGGTTTTTGACTCACACAAAAGAATACGGCCTAGTATCAGCAGCAAAACTGTTGCTAAGTAGTCTTGCTATCGCAGATCAAGGTTCTTGTGTCGGTAGGGTCTGGAGCCACACCCAAAAATGAGTCTTCAAAATGATACATCGCATTGGATGCATTGCGAGGGATAGCTGGGTTTCACTACTTTGTTGGTTTGATTGGTTCCCAGATGCTTATCACCAACAAACCCTCAAAACTAGCAACTGCTTCCCATAGAATACAGTAATATACCTGCGCTATCCGAATCCAAGACCAAGTGTTTCTCTCTGCAGCCAGGATGCCTGGAAGTAGCCCCAGGACTGCTGATCTATGCGGATGCAGAGTTCTAAGGTGAATAGAAGGCCTTGGTGTCCCGTGTTTCATCCCTTTCCCAATCGCGAAGAAGAGACGGGCGATCATCATGTGCATCTTGAGGTCCGTGCTGAGGTGTCACAGAAAAGTGTGGAGAGCAATCAGCTTTTTGGGAGGAGGATCACCTTGATCCAAAATGATCTCACCAATTAAATTTGCTCTCTTCCAACAAGACCTACCATCAACTCAGGCGTTCCATTTCCCCTCCAAACAGCGAGCCAAGCCCCCCCCCCACTGACCCCAAAGCACCCGGAGCACACCGACCTGGCTAAATCTCAGTGGCAGAAGGCAGCTTCGAGCATCACCTGACTGGTGAGCAAGGTCAACAAGAACAAGGGAGAGAAGCGAGAGAATGCCGTTTGGACAACCACTCAATGGAGCATCGGGACCCCTAAGGGAGACCATTGCCTTTTCGGGAATCTTCGACCGTTTCGTGGACGATGGTCGGGTATATAGCGACCTGGAAAAGGCTACCACGCGGATTCTAATTCCCAACCCACTGTCTGAAAAAACACTCTCCCCTCCACGCACCAAAAAGAAAAAAAGAAAACCCCAAAAAGCACATGATGTTGATCTGACCCACCGTGACCCACCGTGACCCTCCGTGATCGGTCGAAACCCGATTCGAGCCGAGTCACGAAGCCGATTCGATCCCACGCCATCACTTCCGTGGCGGTGTCCACCTCGACCCCTGAGAAGAGTGCAGCAGCAGCAGTTCCGTGGGACCCACGGACCGTCGAAAAGAGATGTCTGAGGCACTTTGAGATGTCTGTGGAGTTATGCTGAACTCTTTTAGACAAGTTTGATGGATTTTTGAATTGGTTTTTGGTGATCTTTGCCCATAGGTGAAATTCCCCCGCCTGCTCACCTTCGCCCTAGGATGTTTCCGGTAGTTTGGTGACACGACACAGCTACGCAGCGGTCCCAACCAGATCTTCACTCTGATATCATGTCCACTCACGTCATCCTCGGAGCCTGGCGTTGTTAGTGATGGGATCTCTTGGGGGTGCCTTTCGGGTCTTCAGTTCTCTCCTCCAGTGAGACCGCAAGCCACCCAAACCAACTAAGAAGCACCAATAAAATAAACTGGTTGGGTCAGTTGGTCTTCTGTTGGCACTATTTCCTTGCAACACTCCTAGTGGGGCTGGATTGAAGTGGTAGCAAAAGTGCAGTGTCCTCTTGCTCTTGAACTGCTATCAGATTATCACCGGTACACCAATATATATATATATATATTACCTGTGCTGATGCTTGCGTCAAGGCATGCAACATGAATGTCAGAAGAAGAATGCACCTCTCACCCTCCCGTGGCACACACGCCTCCCAGAAGCCTCACAGTAATAAGTAATAAGGTACATTCAGTAAGATCTGCGGCAGCTGTAGAGCGACTACAAACTCAAGACAGGTCTTGGACAAGTCT